TTTTTTTATTTTTTTTTTAGTTGATCCAAGTTTTGATGCGTTATTGATTAATGAAGAGAAGTCTTGAAGTTGGGGATAATTTTCTTCGTGTGTGTTTTCCCCTTGAGACCTGTGTGAAAGTTGTGGGATGACAGAATTGTTGGGAGAGGGGTTGATGCTGTGTTGTCGAGAGAAACCAGCCGATGAAGGAAGGGTAAGGACTGGGCACGGCTGCCGTACGACGATGCATTTCTCTCTCTCTCTCTCTCTCTCTCCCTCTCTTTCTCTCTCTTACTCTCTCTTTCTCTCTCTTCTTCCTCGCTGATCTTCGTTGTTTTGTATTCTGGCCACGCGCACGAGCGGATTCATTCGCTCTACTCACCCTCATTTCTCCGTACATTTATGCTGTCTCTCTCTCTCCCCCCCTCTCTCCCCCTCTCGCTCTCTTCCTTGTTGTCACTCGCTCTGTCACTCGGCTGTCTCTCATCCGTCTCGCACTGTCCGTTTGCTTTCGCGGGATCAAACACGAAGTTTACCGTTTTCACCCGAATAGAACGCCCGCCTGGTCGTTAAGGCTGTATCAAGAGCGAAACTTGAACCACGTACAGATATAACGACCGGGTGTTCTATATTTGGGTGCAGGGGGTAGATTGGAGACAAGAAGCTGAACGGTGGCGGATAGTACGCAGCGACGCTCATCGCACCTATGCATGTCTTCTTCGCCGACAGATTTCTCTTGCGGCCCCGACCTCTTGTCTGGTCTTGGCCCGGATTTCTGCGGCCGACCGCTCTCTTTTGTTTTTCTCTCTCCTCTTGATAATGACTGATCTGTGAAAAAATGAAAAGAGCCTGACCTCCTTTTGTGGTCTGTGCGACGTAGGGCTGTCAGTGGTTGCCGGAGTGAAGAGCACAGGGAGAGAGAGAGAGAGCTTGAATGGTCGCGGTCCAAATGGTTCAAACCAATGGTTCGAGTGTTTACCTGCTGCCAAGTGGGAGGTCGCGCGCTCGATTCTTGTGTTCGACTCGTCTTTGGTCTGTGTTGTTGCAATTGATTGCTTCCGTCTTCGATCGAGGAGGTAGTAGCTAGTGTGGCGGCGATGGATCGAGAGCGAGCGCCTCTTGCCATCAACACGATCCAGAGGGGAAAGTGCGGGGACGAGTGGTGGCATGCTAGGCGTGCCGAACGCTGGGCAGGCTGGAAGAACTTAAAACCCATGTTAAACTCAGCTTAGATTGCTGTGGATGGAGCAGAAAATGCTGCAGCGGTTGGCTGGCGATGATCAAGAGCAAAGAAGGGTTCGATTTGGTTCAAACCAATTGGGTTCGATTTGGTTCAAACCAGTTGGGTTCGATTTGGTTCGAACCAGTTGGGTTCGATTTAAATCAAATCAGGTTTGAACCAATTGGGTTCAGACCAAATGGTTTGGTTTGCCCTTTCGATCGAGGTAGTTAGTGTGTCGATTGGTCGAGCGTGATTGTTGCTAACGCCTTTCTACGATCCGGAGGGAAGAATTAATGAGGCGTGAGTGGAGGAGGACGAAGGCGGAGAAGAAATCAGACCTATCTCAATTAAGTGAATTTCAGTTTATGTGGTAAAGATGCACTGGGACAGAATGGTTGTCTTCGTCGATCTATTCGATTCGAACCATTGATTCGAACCATTTGGTTAGTGCGTCTTCTCTGATTGGTCGATGGGAAGTGGCTAGATGCTTTCTTTTTGGAGGCGCGGGCGTCATCCTTGATGACGCGCGAGGCTCAGAAGCCAAACCCAAGGATTTGCTCGTCAACCGTCTGGAAGGTTCAGACGTCAATTGGTTTCTTCTTCTTTTCGTGTTTTTTTTTTTTTTTTTTTTTTAACACTCGAGGAAGAGCGATATTCATCAATCTTTTTTTTCAAGTCGTTTCTGTTTATTCGCCTTCCATGTCACTCTCAATTCCAATTGCACTTTTTCTTGGCCCTCCATCGCGTACCGTTTTATATATATATGTTTGTATATTTGTATATGTATATACGTTGATAATATATGTATAAAATGTTTAGTTGCCTGTCTGATCGCGCACCTAATTCTAGTCCTCCTGCATCTTCAGCCCCCTTGCACCGTCCCTTCTCGCTGCTGTAGATCGGGATCGGGATCTTTAGATGGTCTGTCAGTGGAGCTGTGAGCATACAAACGAGATGCGCGGAAAATATCAAGGATGGCCAGGGTATAGAGGGAAATAAAAAAACAACCCAAAAAAAAAAAAAAGCAAAAAAGAGGCAAACGAATTGCCAAGAGTAGTAGGGGGAGGCGGAGGGGGGAAGAGGGTTAAAGAGCACTTGAAGCGGTTGCACGTTCCCGACACCGGGAAGGAAAAATGGTCTTTTCTCTCGATCTGTCTCTCTCTCTCTCTCTCTTCCTTGTTTCATTGCTTTTGTTTTCTTTGCTTTGATCCATCTCTTCTCTCTCTCTCTCTTTCCTTTTCACTTTGTCTCTCTCTCTCCTTTTCACTTTGTCTCTCTCTCTCTTTCTCTCTCTCTCCTTTTCACTGTCTCTCCCTCTCTCTTTCTCTCTCTCTCTCTCTCTTCTCTCTCTCTCTTTCTCTCTCTCTCTCTCGTGTCGCTCGCTAGTAGTTGTTGCCAAGGCGCTTGCTCTCCCGCTGTGCGTTTGTATGTTTCCCTTTCGGGAAAGAGAAGGCTTTAAAGAGCAAGACAACGACAGACGACAGGAATGTGGAGAATAAGTTAGCGCGACACACACACACAAGCACACGCAAAACAGTCGTGGAGAGAGAGATATCTGCGGGAAGAACCAGACATGTATGTGCTTGTTCTGTGCAGACAGATTCATTGATGTTTTCGTCGTGTTATGTGGAGCCAAGAAACCCGCTTATTATGCGAAGAGCGAGAGAGGAGGGGGGGGAGGGGGGGGAAAAGCAACAAACCCACTTAAAATGCGGGAGAGCGAGGGGGAGAGGGGGCGGTGGGGAAAACAATGTAAGCATTGTAAGTGGGTCTGTTGCCTCAACATAACACTACGAAGGCGTGAATGAATCTGTCTGCACAGAATGAGTAGATACGTGCCTGGTTCTTCGCGCAGATATCTATCTCTGCGCGAGTGTGTTGCGTGTGTGTGTGTGTGTCGCGCTAACATTGAGCAATGTAATTAACCCGAATCCCGGTCAGATACATCCATCCATGAAAATCCGATTGTTAGAATCCAGATCGAGCCGTGTAATAGACCCGATCGGGTTTGTAATGCACCCGATCGAGCTAATCTGCCTATAATTTCCACACTAGGACTTTTTTGACTGAACTCTAGACGTATTGGCAGCCAGATACATCCAGGTCAAGTTTAGAATCCCGGTCAGGTACATGCATCCATGAAAATCCGAGTGTTAGAATCCCGATTGAACCATGTAATACACTCGATCGGGTTTGTAATGCACCCGATCGAGCTAGCTGTCTATTGCTTCCACAGTAGAACTCTTGGGACGTATTTGCAGCCAGATTCATCCTTGTGATGTTGGAATCACGGTCAGATACATACGCCTTGGAAAATCCTACTTAGTGTCAGATACATATATCCACGAAATTCGTAGTGTTGGAATCCTGAGCGAGCCATGTAATTTCACCGGATCAAACTTCTTTTTTTTTTTCTCTTTTGATAATTTCTCCCTCTTTTGATTTCGTGGCTGAAGTTTGGCCGCGACGGATTTTCAGAAGAGTGAATTTTTTACGGAGAGTGGATTTCGTGGCTGAAGTTTGGCCGCGACTGAAGTACATTGTGTCCCTATTCCACTGGCAAGTCGTGAGAAATGGAGCCAGGGCCATAAGGACCTGCTTTAAAAAAAGAAAAAAAAAAGAAAAGTACGTTGTGTGATAAGGTCGTCCGTCTGACGATACACAAATGGTGGGCTGATAAGAGACGGGATTGCAATGTGCGGAGGGGAAGGGGAAGGGGAAGGGCGAGGGCAGGCGGAGGGGGAGGGGAGGCGGAGCGGAAGGAGCAGGGGAAGGGGAGACTATATCTGTGTCCTGGTCAGAGAAGAAGAGACGGGAAAGCGGAAGTCCGCGTGGTGGTGAAGGGTTTGCATTGCATTTTCTGATTTTTTTTTGTTAGAATAATGTCGAAGTGGAGTGTGGATCTGGTGTGTTCCTCGTTCTTTTGCCATGTATGTGCCCTACTCTACTGGAACAACATTCGGAATGTATCAGGACATGATTTCGGTTGCATACATTCAAAAGGATAGATTGGTCCGAATGTATCTGGTTCGCATACGAGTCCAGGTACATGAGGAATGTCGAGTAGTGGAGACAGGCCCGAAATGTGAAACGCCAAAGAAGATGCCGTGACAAGGAGACGACGAGGAAGAGATTGGTTGGAGCTTCGCGGCCTTGGTCCGCATGGATGTGTTCCATGTGCAAGTCCTGATACCTTTAGCTTCGCAGATTTGGCCAGATTGGAGCGACGATACCTAACAGAGAGTTCGTATCGATTTTATCAAATCCAGTTCGTTGAAAGCTAATCATTTCCTTCCCTCCCCCCTCCCCTCCCCCGCCCAAAAAAAAAGAAGACGAAAAAAAAGAAAAAGAAAAAGGAAAACACGCTAGTCATCGTCGATCTTGAGAATTAGGAGGTAATAATGGTTGCGGCGCAAGGGTGAGCAGAGAGTATAGCTATGACTTGTCTGTCCATAAGGTAGAGGGGAGAAAGAGGGGAGTGGAGAATAGAAAGAGGAAGAAGAGGAAGAGAGGGGAGGATAGCTCAGCTACTGACGACTCCAGCAAGGGCAGCTCCCCACCAATAGACGGGAGCAATCAGCGGTAGGCCTGCTACCGTCTCCCCCGTACGGTCATTATTGATGTATCTGGACTGAAAGTTGCCCCAAATATATATATATATAGGCATAATGACCGTACAATGCGTACATTCTATTCGCGGGAAGGTGGAGGGAGGTGTGCTTATCCGGTTGCTACTGTGCACTCTTTAATCATTCGCTACTTGGTTGGAGTCCTTGTATCATTTCCTTTTTTTTTTTTTTTTTGTATCATCGTATCTACCTGGGTTTTCTACGTCGAATTTTCGTATTGTGAATGTATCATCACTTGCATACCTACCAGAGGGAGGTGGTGATATCGCTCCCCCTAACAGTCTGAGACTGGTCTTAAAAAAAAGCTCACCGACGAGCAGGAGTTGGGAAAAAGGTGGGTTGGAAAAAAAAAAAAAAAAAAAAGCTGGGCTGCGCAATCCCTTCGCACTATTTTTGACAGGTTTGCTGACCAGGACTAGTACCGTTTTTACCCGTGTAGGTCGACGGTATCAATTGAGCTTATTGCGCCGCAATCGTTTTTCATTAGTTGCCGTTTGTGGCAACTTTCGGTCTACATAACAGCGCGATATAACCAGCTGGCGGGGGCTGGAGTTTTTCATTATTGCTGTATTTGGCGTAACTTTCGGTCTACATACAGCGATATAACCAGCTGGCGGGGGGTGGAGGCGCGTGGGCGATCAAGGAATTGGATCGGGATCGGGGAAGTCGCGGGATCGAGGCCGGCCATGAAAGAAGAAAGAAAAAGAGTACCGGTTTGCTTTTCTGTACAGAGACCTGCCACTCGCACATCGATGTGTCTCCGCGGGTGCAGATGAAGAAAAGAGGAGGGGGTGGAGGGGGGGGGGCGTTTTTTAATGTTTGTTTTTTATTTGCACTCCGAAGGTGAGTATTTTCTTTATGTATACAGTAAGGGGAATCATCAATTCAATCAAATTGAATGATTTCTATCGAAGGAAAAAAAATCAAATTGAATCCCATTTGTCATATGTTTAGCGTGTACATGTTTGGTTGGGGGGGGGAGGAGGGGGACTTTTTTTCATGTCTTTGAGTTCTTGGTGAGTTGCTAAACCCCTTTTTTTTTTTACCTTTTTTTTTTTTTACCTTTTCTTTTTTAACCTTTTTTTCGTTTCTTTTCTTGTGGGTCTTATTTGTGCCTGCCGTGTGTTTTTTCTTTTCATTTGGGTCTCCTCGCAGAGCCTCCACCTATCGATCTTGCGAACATGACAGATGTGGACTGGAAGAAAATTTTGACTCCGGAGCAGTACAGAGTGTGCAGACGGAAGGGAACGGAAATGGCATTTTCAGGGTAAGGTCCTCTTTTTTTTTTGGTTGGGGGGGGGGGGGGGGGGGGGGGGGGTGGTTGCTGTATATCTGTGAAACAAACAACATGCAGTTGTGATTAGTAGATAAATTAGATTGTTTCTTCAAAGAGAATGTGCTGGGGATTCGTGATGAGGAAAACTGCGTGTTTGTGTGTGGGGGGCTGGGGCGGTGTTTCACGTGAGGTGAAGTTCTTTTGCGAAATTGAATTTTCTTATTCTTTTTCTGAAAGGAGTAAATGACCAACCGACGGCGAAGGTGAAAAGTTTGGCTGGCTTTGATGGTCTCTTCGCGGGTGAAAAATGATGACGTTGGTGCGTTTCTTGCCCTGTTCTGTTTTCGTTTTGCAGGCAGTATTGGAACACGAAGACGAAAGGAATGTACCTTTGCGTTTGTTGCAAGACAGCACTTTTCAGGTGGGTTTCTATGCGTGACAGAAGTAAAATGTGTATTCCCTCTGCCGTCTGTCCTCTCTCACGCCAGCATTTCTTATGTTTTTGGTGACTGTGGACGTGTGTGTGTGTGTGTGTCTATGAGAGAGAGAGAGAGAGAGAGAGAGAGAGAGAGAGAGAGGTTTATTTGGTGGATACTTGCTACGTACTAGAACAGGGTAGAAGCCTATGGAGTTGGTCGTTTGAAGGCGATCGCTCGCAGTGCATGTGTTTCGAAGTTTGTGTGATCTCTATATGAAGTATGTTGTGTGTGTGTGTGTGTTTTGTCCTGTTTGGCATATACACCTGCATAAAAAAGAACCATGATTGTGGCAGACTTTCGTCGCGTTGTTTCACCCTGTATCTGTGTACCTGTGCCTCTCTGTGTGTGTGTGTGTGTGTGTGTGGGTGTGTGGGTGCGTTTGTGCGTTTGTGCGTGCAGGTCCCAGACGAAGTTCGATAGTGGAACGGGCTGGCCGTCGTTCTACGACAAGGTGGATCTGAACGTGAAGATGGAAATGGACTGGTCGATTCCCTTCATGCCGCGTACGGAGGTTTCGTGCGCGAAATGCAATGCACATCTAGGCCATGTGTTCAGTGACGGACCCCCGCCAACTCTAAAAAGATATTGCATAAACAGGTGGGTGGTATGATGGGTTGAAAGGGATCATATATAGTATATATATGTATAAATATAGTATATAAATGTATAAATATAGACCTATCTTTGTTTCGTGGGTGTTTTGCGTGCTTGTGAGTTTTCCATCTGGTGTGGGTGAGTGATGGAGTGGGTGAGTGATAGTCTGCTTTGATTTTCGTCACAGGTACCTTGAGGGCAGTGGTTGGTGGTCCCCACCACCTCACTGCATAGGGGTATCATCAGTTGTCGGGCAGTCGTTGATGATGCTGAACCACAACCGAATGGGGTTAAGGTGAATTATCTGTCACGTACAGTGGTATCATCAGTTTGTGGGGATGCTGCTGCAGACTGTTGAGGGTTCAGCCTCCTCCTCCTGATGAGTAGGTAGGTGAAACTCCGACGAAACAGTTTGTCACAGCCCCTCCTCGTTTCTTGTCCTCCCTCCCTCCCTCTCTGCCTACTACGGTTTACCGTGCAGCTCCTGATGAGTAGGTAGGTTAATGTGATTCGTCCAACGAAAGCTCAGAAAAATTGAAAGAAAAAGTCCAACACATGGCGAGGATCCACTGGCAATGAGATGGAGCTTAAACCCCTGAATCTGGACGTGTTTGCTGCGAGGGAAAAACGCACTTGATCTGCTTTTCTGCATCTGTGCCTTAATCTCGTACAGATTCAGCTCGTTATTTTGATGGGTTTTGAGGTTTATATTATTCGTCCAACGAAAGCTAAAAAAAACAAATAAAAAATCCAGCTCATGGTATAGCTACTCTGGGGCGAGGTCCCACTAGCAAAGAGCATTGGATCAAACGCCTGAATTTGGACGTGTTTGCCGCCACGTGCAGATGATCGTAATTGATGATTTTCTTTTTTTTTTTTGCCTCTGTTCAAATACCCCGTCCGGACTGAGGTGCTTGGGTCAGATCCTCTTTGCGCTAGTCTTCCCCCGAATACAACGTACGGTCATTATAGCTGAATTTAGACCGAAAGATACACCAAATTCAGCTATAATGACCGTACGTTGTATTCGGGGGAAGACTGTAGTGGGACCTTGCTCCTGGTGGTCGCATCCTGAGCTGAGTTGGGGTGAGCCCCCCCCCCCGGTGTGTGAGTAATTTTAGAGATTCAAGCTCTTTTTTTTTCTTTTTTTTTTTTTTTCCTTTGTTTTTTTCAACGAGTGTTCCTATCACTCCGGCTACTATGGTCCTCCCTCCGTCTGGGACTCACCACGTATACACACGACAAACAAATATGGCGTTGTATCTGGCCATGTTCTAGCGGAAGATTCATTCTCATTTCGCACATTGTTTTGGGCGAGTAGTGGATCAAGCCCCCATGTCTGTTTCTAGCGACGCGAAATATTGCCGTGTGAGGGGAAAGCAGCAGGGTTTGTACTGGAAATTTGAATTTTGAGCAAAAACAAAAAAAGAATCAGCTGGGTGGTTCCTCCTATTATTAATTACCGTAATTAGTAATTTTAGTTCAACGAGGATCGGGTTCGACTGATGATTGCCTTCTTTTTTTTTTTCCCTTTTTTTTTCTGAGTAGTCACGACATGCTTGCACGTCTCGATCGCTTGTTTGGCTTGTTGTAGTCGGGCTGTAGGTGCTGACTGTTCTGCTCTATCCGTTGAGGGCAGACACTTGAAAGCTATGGATGGTTTTTGCCAAAGTTACGGCCTTTCGCACTTCGCTGCGGAACCCAGAATTGTCTTCGTGCAGATTCTCCGTTGTCTTTTAAAAATTTCTCATCTTCATATGTCTCACATCTCCTCTCTCTCTCTCTCTCTCTCTCTCTCTCTCTGTGTCTGTGTGCGCGCTTATACCTGCTTTGAAATTCCTTTGCGCTACCCCTGTATATTGGTTGAGTCAGAATCTCTCTCTCTCTCTCTCTCTCTCTCTCTCTCTCTCTCTCTCTCTCTCTCTCTCTCTCTCTCTCTCTCTCTCTCTCTCTCTCTCNTCTCTCTCTCTCTCTCTCTCTCTCTCTCTCTCTCTCTCTCTCTCTCTCTCTCTCTCTCTCTCTCTCGTTCTCTCTCTCTCGCTCGCTCGCTTTCTTGGTCTGCGTGCGCGCGTATGTCTCTATTGTTGTGAAGTCATGACGACTGTAAACTTGCTTTGCTTGATGCTCATATGTTGTGGTGGTGTTTCATGATTGGCGGTGGGGTTGGTTGGTTGGTTTATCCTGTCGTGAACTGTATATGCAGTGTGGCGTTGGTACTGAAGCCGGACGACAAATCCTAGAGATGTGGCTGCCAAGTGCTTTGGTCCGGCATGTCCTCACCGGTGACGTCAACGGTTTGGGGTGTCTGTCTGTTAAATTTCCATTTGTACGTTTTCCTCTGATCTGTGATTCAATTCATTGATGCGTAGAAAGCTGTGGACCTGCGACTGCACTGGCGTTGGCCTTAGCCCCCCCTTCGATAAGCGCGAGCGATGTCTCTTTCGTCAAACAAGGATGACGAATGGAATCGCGTCTCTTGCCCACTGCGAGCACTGTGATGCTGCCTATTGCCTGCCAACCCGTCGATCTTCCCCCCCCCCCCCCGCACCTTCGTCCTTCTCCTCCTCCCTCTCCACGTCCATTCTTCCTCCCTCCCTCCCTCCCTCCCCCCCACCCCTCTTCCTCCATTCCCTCCCATCTGCTTCCTTCAACTGGGCATCATTGTGCGTGATCGTGCCAGCGACCTGTTTGGAACGCCTTCTTCGGACGACGGACTGACTGGAAATTGTTCGCAGTTAGCATGCATGTGTATATATCAGCCTAGATTTGATTGATTGGCCCCTCCTGAGATCCTCCTACCCCTCCTTCCCCCCCCGCCTTTCCCTCCTTCCGCTCCCTATCCCTCCTCTCTCTTCCCCCTTTCCTTCCCCGTATTTTCTACTCAGCGAGGGTGTGCACCGCGCTGTGCACACCGGATCGTCGGATCTCGGAGGTGTTCCGTTCATTATCGTGAGAGAAGAAGACTGAAAAGATGGAGATGGAGATGAAGATGAAGATTCCTTGCTTGGGGATAGACAGACGACGGGTGAAAGAAAAGAAGACGCGCTCTCGCTACAACGCTGTGGTAGTTGGTCGCTTCTTTCTTTGTTCCGTTTGGTCCTCTCGTCCATTGCGTTCGAGAAGGGGTGTGACGAGCTACCGTCTTCCGCCGATCTTGACTGTACCGGGACGCAAAAATACCTTGTATACGTTCATTTTCAGTGTGCGTTATGTTCCGGGGGAGACGGTATAGTCGTGATGAGGGGCGCTAGTATCGACGAGGGGTTGCGCATCCATTTTGCCTGTCCCTCTTTTCTACTGTTGATGTTGGTGTCAACAGTATAAAAAGTGGAATGAAGGGTCCAGCTTCGTTCCTGGCTGGTTCTCTGGACTCGTTTCCTTCATATAGATATATGGTAAGAGATGGCGACCGACATACGGCTCGCGCGAAAGATGAAGATGTGTGTTGGTTGAGAGAGGCTGGGCCCGTGCTGGCGTGCGTGCGGCCGTGCCTTGCCTGCGAACAGGGGACGTTATCTGGACAACGGGGCGTGCGAAGCGGTGGAAGGTGCCTGCTTGCTTTTCAAGGTCTACCTGCCTATTGCTTAGGAGTGAAGCGGTTGTTCTTTGGTAGCTTGTGGGAGATGCAGCATGAAGGAAGTTATGGCCTCGATCTCGTGCCCTTCCGGCCTTGTATGGTCTCTCGCTAATTACTACTATTGCTGAAACTTGATGAAAACGTTGTGTGACGAATGGCAGCCAACGGGGCGCAGAGAGAATATAGCAGGTGGTGGGAGGAATAGACTAGACGACCTTTCGTCTTCTCACGTTTGTCTTCGACTCCTTCATGGGAACGGAAAGGGACTCGGGGGAGGGCGAGGTATAGGTGGTGGGAGGGCGAGGTATAGGTGGTGGGAGCGCGAGGTATAGGTGGTGGGAGGGCGGGGTATAGGTGGTGTCTCTCTTCCCTCTCTCTCTCTCTCTCTCTTTCTCTCTCCCCCGATGCGCACTCTCTTCTACGAGGAGGGTAGTTGTTGATCTCTGTGCTCGCTCGTGGAGAAGGTATGAAGCTGTAAGCTGTTCTTCCTGCCACTCATTGGTTACCCTATGGTAGTATTAACTTGGGCAAGGATGGCACAGAGTCAGACACGGTGTCGCAATTCCTCATGGATTGAACAGATCCAGGTTTAACGAATCCGATCATGGATTGAACAGATCCAGGTTCAACGAATCCGATCATGGATTGAACGGATCCAGGTTCAACGAATCCGATCATGGATTGAACAGATCCAGGTTCAACGAATCCGATCATGGATTGAACCGATCCAGGTTCATGGATTGAACGGATCCAGGTTCAACGAATCCGATCATGGATTGAACGGATCGCGGTGTCGCGAATCCTCCGTTGTTGAGGTTGAGGGGGTGCGACATTGAGGTCAAGGGCGTGCGACACAGAGGTTGAAGGTGTGCGACATTGGAAACACAGGAGTGGAGGTGTTTATCGCGGTGGGTTCGTCTTTCTCCTTGGGTTGTTGGCAAGCTCTGTGCGACGTTGTGCGACGTTCGATGAAGATGCGAGCGCTGCTTCTGGCGTCCTCTGCTTCCTCCTTGTGCGCCTACCAGTACTCCCACCTCCTGCGCTTTCTTTCATCTGGCGCCTCCCGTGATTATGCTTCTCTGTTACATAATGTAAATGAAGAAGCGGAAGGAGATCTACGGTTGTCCATTCCATGCTGCTGGTTTCATATCTTCTCTGGTCTCACAGGATTAGATCTACAGCTTCATAATTCGCTAGCTAGCGTATTATGAAGCTGTCGCTCCGCGGCTTCCGCGGCTTTCCCCGCGGGTAATATGTATGGAGTCTACTCCCCGACATTCCGCCCTTCCCCTCAGCGCGCTAGGCCGTCGCGCTGCTCGAAAATGAGGGGTTTGCGACTGACCGACTGCGCTCTCATAAGGGGGGGGGTGGGGGGGGGGGAAGAGGGAAAGGATAGGCAATTGGCCCCCTCGATGGGGGGGGACCGATTTGGCCGAAATTGGACCCCTCCCTCCGCACATCGTGTGGTTATTGGCTGGCTGTTTTGGGGCAAAATTTGCCCACCCAAAATTGGGGCCCTCCGCACATACAGAGCTTGGTTTGTTGAGATCTGTGGGGACCACAAGACTCTTGTTGGTGTTGGTGTTGGTGTTTGTGTTGGTATTGTTTAACAGTATGTGCTTTAGTTGATGAGAAAGTCGGGGTGGGCTGTCGAGGAAGAGGATCCAACGACGGAGGTTCAATCTCTCCCAAGGATCGATCGGCAATGTAGTCGCTCGCAAATGGGAGACGATGGATGGAGGAATGGATGGATCGGTTTTTTATTATTGTGTTCCAAATTTGGCACTGGGTTTTGGGAATTTTTGAGTTTCTTCACGGTCGATGTAGAAGAAAAGCTGATTTGATTGATTGATTGATTGACGAGATTATGTCGTAGACAATGAATGAACGAATGAAATCTGCGATTGTGCAGATGCATGCAAGGAACGGTACCGTAGTAGGATGCGCGTTTTCACTCGCTCGCTTTCACTCGCTTTCACTCGCTCCCTCGTTGGCTGGCTGGAAGAAGTCGTGGGCTTTTGGTGATCGTCAGCGGCTGGACGACGAATTTTTACGTGCTTTGCGTTTTTTTTAATTTTTTATTGTGATCTTCCCTTTTCTTTTCTTTTTTGTCCTCATTTGGCAAGACCTTTCTTTGAAAAGCCTTTTTTTTGGTTGTTTGGACATCATCCCTTCTACACGGGGCAGAGACATGCGGCACTCTTTTCGTGGTGTACCCTCTTTTTCGGCAATGGCAGACTTATTAGTGGTGCCACTCCCGTCGTGGAGGAGTGTTTGAAGAAGAGATGATTCAATTTGTCGGATTTCAAAGGAATATCCATCACCGTGTGGGGTGCTTGATTTACAATCAAATGTAGATGACCCTTTTAATGTAGCTTCTTGTTTCAGGAACCGTTGGTTGGTGCGAAATTTCGGGGAAAGGGGGGGTGGGTGGGG